GAGAATAACAGAATGTCAATATTCTGCTGCCGCCACTTTAAGTTAATATATATAGGTTATGCTAGTTACATGAAAGGACATATCTGCCCTTGGTGTTTACATCATWACTGBTAACAAATAACAAMYAATATAAAACTGAAACTAGAAATAACAGAATAGCAAAAAAACCACAGCTGTGACTAAATACATTCTACCCTACGGACAGAGTGGGACCACAGCTGTGCGGCCCACATCAATGTTCTCTACAGAGAAGGAAGAAGAGAATAGAGGAAAAAAATGTACGAGAGTCAAAAAATTCTAGCTGGCGGCACCAGGCAATCTACTTTTATATTAGGGCAAATGTACATAACATAAGAGAATGTAAATAGACCAAAGTACCCTTGCAGTACATAACTGAGATATTACATCATGAAGCAAGGCACAAAAATGCAAAAATACAAAAAATTAAAAAATCAACATAGTATTAATTAAAAAATATAAACTTAAATTTTAAAATAAATGTTTTTTATAAAACCTATTATCTCAAATTAAACTACATAAACATAACATATAAAACATAATAAAATATTTAAAATGAAAAATAAAACAAAATCAAAGATAACATATAAAGCATTTCATGTTATGAGCATTCGAAGAACAGTCATTTTGACTATCAAAAGGCAAAATAGGATTTTCAAAATAATTTAGGCATCACGAGACATCATATGCAAATAGAATATGATGGACTACTAACAGAAGGGTAGTATTTGTCCTATGACATCATCTGACAAGGTATATCAGAGTCATTTCAAAAACCAGAGGGTATATTTCAATATTTGGCACATACCAGCAGGGAGGATTAAGTAGTTTTCCCAACAATTTATTATCGTCAACACCGATGCTGCTCAAGTGCTTTTCTACAAGCTACAAATAGTAAAATTTCGATGCAATTAAATTAATTATGCACTTTTGTTTCATATCTGCATAAACTGGATGGGTATACATCCCATTATACTTTTTAGAAATATCATATGAAGATCAAAGAACAGTATTAGGTTTTACAAAACAGAATCTCTAAGCAAGAAATGAATCAATGACATATAATATCAACTGAAAAGCATCATGAAAGGGCGCTACCTGCAAAACTGATTTTAAGAATAGAAGGTTTCTAGATGCATGCTCCCAAAATATGTCACAGATCTGTTTAATCCTCTCTGAGCCATGCTCAATACCATCTTTCATGAATTCTAATGACAGAGGCATGCGGATAATTGTGGAATCTGATAACTTCCATGGCATCTTTTCACCAATGAGCATTGGCTTAAACTGATCATGGAATCTTTCCATCAAGTTAGTACCTGAAATACATTTGCTAAAATCTAGTCAATAGAATTTTTTACTTCTATAAAATAATGACTTGAAGCAGGTGACATTTGGAATGTGGATAATACATTGATAAAACCTGTTGATGAAGGAGATGAAATTTGGAATGAAGAGCATGAGCAGGAGGAGCTTCTTGAGGGGGAAGAGTGAAGTTGGAGTTGAGCAGGGGGTGGGGTTGCGAGGCTCAATTCTGGGGAAGTTTGTGTTCAGAGAATTTTGTGAGTTTTTGTTCTCAAAGGGGGAGTGTGTGTTGGGTATGTAAGAGGTCGTCCTTTGGGGTTGTTGTTAGTTTTTTGTTTTGTGTTTCATTGGTGCATTCTCTGCATCCTTTTGGTGGTTGTAATGCTGATTTATTTTATTTTTAATTTTTTACTTCTACAAAACATTTCTGTTGCTGATAAAAAAACACATAATGTGGATCGTGAAGACAAGTACCAACAAATTTATGAAAATAATAATAACAATATAATAATAAAAACAATAATAATAATAATAATAATAATAATAATGGAAAGCATTAACTGTAAAAGTAAATGAACAAATATAATACCTGTCAAAGAGAACATTTTTGCAGAAGGAACATGGCTTGGAGGTATAGAAAGAGCTAGACCACGTGGGTCAAACATGTAAAAGTAGCCATTTGAAATAACAGATGGAAGATCACAGACAAAATATGTGCTAAGCAAACCTAAGCCATATGTTAGAGTACTGCCCCGCAGCCTCCATGGAGGACGAAGTTGGAGACTGCTTACTTCTTCCCTGGTCAAGGTAGCACCTTCCATAATAACTACTAGAGAGGGTCCTTGAAATTCACCTGACCCATATAAAAATCAAGAAGAAAAAAGTTAGGATACATATATTGCTCATCAATGAATTAAGTTTAATTTAATACATGAGTATGAAATTAAATTGTCCAAAGAAATTCGTAGCGAACACTCAACAGTGGTAGTTCAGCACTAAATACAGAAAGGCCTTTTCTACAAGGAATACTATTAAATTAGCAATTAGTAAGATTGTATTTATGTAGAATACAACGGATCAAAAAAATTATGTAGAATACCACAACTGCCTGTAAAAGGAAAGGTAATAATAAGGTTGACCAGGAAATAAAAGAAAAAAAAAAGCACATATTTGTTGTGTTCAATAAGTAATTAAAGTTCTTCAGTAATTCTCCAACCGGTGCCTCTATCAGGTGGTCCACTCATAACATATTTGCACTGGAACTAAAACATGCCGAATGGACATTTGCTTCAAGGTCAAAACATATGTTTACCAGGAGTTACAGTAGAACAAGACAATGTCAGAGATTTATCTTTATGAATTCTTCTACCACAATTACAACTTCTGACTTTATAAGCTCAGAACATATATAGTATTGATTACCTAGATTGTGTTGGAGTAGAGACTGACGAGGATGTTCCCGCTTGTCAAATATTAGGTGCATCATCCTTGCTTTGCAACAATCTGCCAACTCAAGAAGATCAAACAACAAAAAATTGCTGTTCCCATACAGTGCCAGAAGCTCACTTATTCTATTATAGTCCAAGCATGGTAAATCCTTGGTCGTTTCCTCATCAACTAAAGACAAACAACGAAGTGATTGTATCCCCAACCTGCTAGCCAGATCATTGCTAATACTTGGATGTACAAAATGTTTTGCAGACAAAGAAGCATTTTCCATCCATGGTGCATCGTTATACACAAGGTCCATCGAGCACATCAGTACTCCAGAAGAATCAGGAACTAACAACAGAGTATCAGATGCCTCAGACAATGGCTTATCTGCATAACAGTCTGCAACAGCTTCAAGGACACAATGAACAAAATCTAACTGCTCAGATTGTAATGGAAGACCTTTAACATCATTCTGTAAACGTTGTAGAACATGCAAATAGTCCAATGCATCAAATGTAAGTTTCACGCCTAATGCCAAGAGAAGATCTCTGAACCCTGACAACTCAGATGGAACAGCATACAAATATGGATGAAATTTCACTGGTGAATCAAATGCAAGCTCCTTTGGTGATACAAAATTGTCCCCAATCCAAATACATGGAACACCATCCAGTGCAGATTTTAGAATTCTAAAATCATCAGTACCCACATACTCCTGCAATTTTAAATACAGTGTAGGGATCTCCTTCTGCATTGCAGCATCAAGAGCAGGTTCAACTAAAGAAAGCAATTTAAGCTGGGAATAGCTCTTAGATAACTCAACTAACTGAGAAGATAACACTGTTATGCTCGGACAATCCATCCAACCAAGTTTGTTCTGTACATAAATTGAGTGGCATTCACCATTTAATATATGCATTGCAGATGAAACCATCCACATTTGTGATTTAGGTCGAACAATACCGGGAGGTGCAACTTTTTGTTTGGATGTGAACCATGGAAGTCCTTGTATAGGTGGATCAGTATAAATTGGACACCAAGCTATGGTTTTCATTTCTGACCAAAATTCTTCTTCTGGTTTATCATAGATCATGTCACCCAAACAAGAAACAATGTCCAAATCCAATTTGCATCCGTTCTCCATGTCTTTCTTGGGAAAATCAACACTCACCTCACCATCATCACCTAAATCACTTTGTATCTCACATAATGAAAAATGACTGGTATCATCGCAGCTGTCTTTCTCCAAATGGGAAAGCTTAGATCCTAAAGCATCTAAACAAGCAAGTAACCTACTTCCATAATTTAGAGATTCCAGATCCTCTGAATCATGCAACATCTTAACAGACCTAGCACAATCAAGCAAACCAGTAAACCCTAGCATCCTCTTAAGCCCCAGGCAAACTAAAAGCTCTAGGGCTTCATCATCCAAGAACTTGTCAGAAGGGAAGTAAGCTTCATTATGCAGAACTTTTCGTAGTCCTGGTACACGGGGATCATAAAGCCTGCAGAAGTAAAAAAACAATATTTAGAAGAAAGAATGTCCTACTATCCAAATAACCAAACCAACTTAACTCCTGAATACATAGTTTTATTTGAAGAGAATAAAGTATTAGTTTGTATTTCTGTATGTCAAAACATATCTATACACCATAATTTCCAATAAAGATTTTATCTTTTATGGGGACTACATGTATCTAAACCTTAGAGGAGAAAGAGAGCTTTGAAGGTAAACCAGATACCTTGCTTCACCTTTGTCATCTCACCAAGTAAAAAAATAAATAAAAAATAAAAGAGAGAGAGAGAGAGAGAGAGAGAGATTCAATTCTTCACTAATTTAACAGTCTTCAGTAAATTCATCTCTTATACTACACCAGTGTGAGCTTGTCTTACACCACCTGTCGCAAAGGAGGAGGTTTGTATCAAGTTGGCAGCCAGCAATAAAACCTTTGCCAAATTCCTATGGTCACTGATCCTGAATTGTCTTTCCAAACAGAACAGAATGGCAGAAAGGGATTTATGTAGCCAACCCCATATAGTCATGGTTCAATGAAAAGTGAGTAGGAATCTTAGAAAAGTTGATGAGAGATTTCTTGTGGGAACCAAGGGAAGAAAGAAGAAATCATAGAGTTAGATGGGAGGTAGTCACTAAAAGCAGGGATGAAGGTGGTTTGGCTATGGGAAATATCCAAAAGAAGCAAGAGGCTTTATTGGGAAAGTGGCTATGGAGGTGATTAGGGGATGGGGACAAACAATGGACTACAGTAATTAAGAGTATCCACGAGCAAGCACCTAATGGTTGGGATGTTGGGCTCTTGGCGAGGGCTACAAGTGCTTCTCCTTGGAGATCCATTCATGCTATCATGTCATTCTTCCTTCCTTCTTGCCTTTTATCAAGTACGACTTCTGTAACCAAGTGAAGTTTGGGAAACATCTTTCGATGGGGGATGTGCCTTTCAAAGAACAATTTCCTTTTGTGTATTCTTTCTCCTTGTTCAATACAGGAGTTGGTGTATACATAACTGGATACATCGTCAAAGTTGGATACATTGTCAAAGCTGCATTTAGGGGTGGCAAATGGGTCGGTTGGGTTGGGTTGGGTAAGGGTTGAATACCAACCCACCCATATTGACCCACCAACCCACCATGACACATCGCCAATCCTTGTTAGAGGGTCATAACCCACCCTAACCCTAACCCATCCTAACCCACTCATATTGACCCACTTGACCCATCCATATTGAACCTCAACAACACTCACCCATACTAACCCACCTACCCTCACCTATAAATACAAAATGGGTCGGGACAGCCCGTATACCCAAAATAATAATTTTTGAGAGAATAATCTCTCTCAAAGATTCCACGTAAAAGAACCAGGACAAGTCAACCTGTATACCCAAAAATAAAAACATTTTTGAGAAAATCATCTCTTAAGATTGCCACGTGACAGAAACAGGTTGGGTTGACCCGTATATCCAGGAAAAAAAACATTTTTGAGAGAACCATCTCTCTCGAGACTACCACATGATAAAAACGAGTCAAGTCAACCTGTATACCCAAAAATGCAAAAATTGTAGGTAAATGCAAAAAATAGTAGATATTTGCAAAAATGCAAAAAAAAATACCAAAAAATGCAGAAAATTCAAAAAAAATACCAGAAAATTACAACAAATGCAAAAAATTACCAAGAAATCAGAACTTTTGTAGAAAAAATCAGAAAATATGCAAAAACTACCAGAAAATTGCAAAAAATGCAAAAAAAGCACAACTCTTATAAAAGTGTTTTTACAAAAGTAATTTTATAAAAGTACTTCTATAAAAGTACTTCTGTAAAAGTGCTTTCATAAAAGTGCTTTTATAAAAAGTGCTTTTATGCTTTCATAAAAGTACTTTTATAAAAGTCCATTAGTGTAAAAGTACTTTCATAAAAGTATTTTTGCAAAAGTACTTTCATAAAAGTATTATTGCAAAAGTACTTTCACAAAAGTGCTTTCGTGTAAAAGTACTTTTATAAAAATGCTTTTATGATTTCATAAAAGTGGTTTCGTAAAAGTACTTTCATAAAGTGCTTTCATGTAAAAGTTCTTTTGTAAAAGTACTTTCATAAAAGTACTTTTATAAAAGTGCCTTCACAAAATTGGTTTCGTGTAAAAGTGCTTTCATAAAAGTACTTTTCATAAAATTACTTTATAAAATTGCTTTTGTAAAAGTGCTTTCGTGTGTGAACACGAAAGTTAATAAAATCTATTTTATTTCACGTTTAATCTTAAAATTAGATGTGGCATAGTGGTTTGGAATTGTAATGAGATGTGGATGTGCTAGAAGGCTTGAGTTTGAGTCACTTCAATTATTGTTTTTTGAGATTTGGCAAGTATAGATAGAGCCGACTTTGACCCAACCCATCCTGACCCTAATGGGTACCCTCAACCCAACCCACCCTAACCCTTTTCCACTGACCCTAATGGGTTACTTGACCCATATTGA